CTTACACGGGGCCCTGCCGGTCTCTGCAGCCCTCGAAACGGTGCTGAGGGCTGCGGGGGAAGGATAAAACCACTCCAGAAGAGGCTTTGAAAACTCAGGGACTGGGTTTTGGTTTGGTTTTTTTTTTCCCCAATTCATTATGGAAACCTTAAGTATTTAAAAGAGCCGAGAGGACACACCTCTTCAGATCTGTAGGAGGAAGAGAGGAGTGAAGCACATGAAAGCCAACGCTTCATCCCTGCCTTTAACAACAAATTGAGCCCAGCAGAGCGCAGGAGTTTCAAGGTCTCTGCATCCAGCTCCTCCTCTCACGCTTTCTGCTCAAAACATGAGCATTTGCCTCCCCACCAGCCCGGGGAGAGACCTGGCTCAGCGGTCCAGAACCGGGCACGCACTTGGAAACTTCCACGGTACTTAGCAGACGCTCAACGCGGCCGCCCAACCTTTCTTTCCCCTTCCTCACAAAGCTGTCACGAACGTGCCGCCGCGTCATGTCACTCTTTTGCCCTCTTGCTTCAGAGTCCAGGGGCTGAATCGGCCGCCCCGCACTTTGCCCTGGGCTTGTTCGTCGTTCCTCCGTGCAGGAAGAACTCGAACGCGCCCTGTGTGCCTTGTCAGCACGGAGGTTGCGAGCCGGCTCGTCGCTGATGAGGAAAGGCTCGTTAGGGTGTGCTCCTTCAGCCTACGGCAACGGGAGCGCGCCTGAGAGCAAGGGGGGTTCAGTCCCCAGGGCTCAGGAATGAGACGTGGCTTTGTGGCTGAGAAACCACCCACCAGCCCTACTCGTACAGGGAGATGCATGAAAAGCAGCGTGACACCCTGTAAAAAAAAAAAAAAAGAGGGGTGAAACCAGGTAATCTGGGGTGACTTGAAGCAATAACCTTCAGATCTTCCCAAACACCGAAGCCCCTACAAGTGTCGCTTCAGTCTCCCAGCTCTTGCAACAGCCGCTGGGGGCAAACCAGCCCCATCCCCTTTGCCTCTCCCCGGCTGGGTGATTTCACGGTGCCCCCCGTGCCGTGCTCACCACGGGCGCCCATGCTCATTCACACGCGTGTTCACGCCAGCCAGGCAGCTTGGCACGGTATTTGCACGGTGGGCACCGGGAATTTACTTTTTAATCTGAAAGAGTCCAACTTTGGTGACCTTCTGGGCACGCTGCAGCAGCCGCCCATTTGATTCCATTTCTGAAAACTAAATCGCCGCTTCGTAGCTAACAATGGCGAGGAGGATGACTGCGCTAAGTGGCTCGCGGGGTTTCTGCAGACCTGACCCCCGCCTGCTGCTCCCAGCGGCAGGGCACGGGGAATACTGTGTGACTTACAATGACATAAGAAAAAACAGAGCAGAGCAAAGCACCGGTTGATGAACACCGTCATCAAGAGAAGGGGCTCAGGAAGACCAAGGCCACCGTGTTGAAACAAAGGACTAAACCAACTTTTGCCAACGCGACATCAACAAAGTGCCCGGGGATCGCTGTAGTATCAGATTAGCTTTAAAGACCTGACCAGCAATAGCAGCAAGCTGGCCCACTCACCCTGCCTTTAAGGCCATGCTGTGACCAGGTCACCGTCAGTGCCAAGAGGATGTTGTGCCACATGCACTTAGAATAAAAAAAAAAAGACTGAAAATGCCTCCGCTCTCCCAGCAGCCTCCCCGCAAAGCCCCTACTTCTACAGAAAACCCAGCAGCGCAATGGGCAGCCCAGCTTCAGCCCCGTGGTGCTCCAGTCTCTGGTAATTCAGGACAACCAGCTCAGGCTTGTGCCAGCCCAGAACCGAGAGCGAGCGGCACGGCCACGACGGGGAGAAACTGAAAGGATGGGTGTCCTAACTTACCAGGAAAGCACAGTTGTCACACTGACCTTCATCACTTGAGCAGAAGCTTGGCCCTACTGAAGATCTGCCAGCTTTCTTATCTTTATTTCCCAATCTTCCACAATTGCTGCCCATGCTGATTAGCCATCCCAAGCGCAACATCCCCGCGGACAAGCTGTAGCGAGCGTATGCGATGTGCTGGCACACCACGCGCTCCCCAGGAACGAGCCCAGCTCCATGCGGTGCTCACATTTTTCTCAAAATGAACCCTTACTGAATTTACTGTTTCAAATGTTTTTATTGAAAGCCAAGTCCTTGACTCTACGTTGTTAAGAAAGTTAACAAAAGAGAATCACACGCCAAGTATTCAGACTGAGGGAAAACAAATGCAAAAGAAACCAAACCAACCAACCTCACTTTGTTTCTCTAGGATGCTTGGATGGGAAAGAGATCTAGAGCAGTCTCAGCCTACGAAAACCCACAGTAAGACCACTCTTTCCAAAAACTCAGTGATTAAAACTAAGGAACAAATGAGCTTTATTTTATTTACAGACTGAATGAAGGAAATTTGTATTTGTAGAGGGGCTTATGACAACAAAATCATAATGGCCTTTGACAAACTGTGCTTGAAGGCTTGGTTCTTCATCACCCCAATCCAGAGAAAGTGTTAGCAAGTCTCTTGTTTCGCTAGGAAGCTGAGGGTGAACTTAGTGTTCAAGAAACCAAGAGGCTGCGGCCTCTGAAGTTGAGTGAACTCTCCCTGTGCCCCTCAACCCTTGCAGCCACGCTCCGCACCGATCCACGCCTTGTCTTCCACAGGGCAGAGGTAAAACAACTAGGCACTGGTTTTGCAATGTCAGTTGAAGGTCAGACTAGACTTCAGGCTTCACGACAGCATCAGAACCCAGTTCTTCAGGGAACAATAGCTCCAAAAGCTGGGTCGGAGACAGTCCCTTGTTGTATTTGCAATTAAACCCCCCCCCCCAAACCAAAAAAACCCCCAAAGGAGCAGCACAAGCTGCATATCTGAACAACAGAGGACCTGCTGTTACACAAAAAAATGCATTCCTTGTAACATGGCACTGAGCTAAACACGAATGGAGTCCCTGAACTATTCCTATTTTGTATCTTTGGTGCTACCCTTCCACTGTCAGCAGGGCACCGTGTGAAGATCTCCGTTCTCACCTGCTCTGTTCTCCTCTCCGAATACCACCCAGGCCTTGTTACGACACGGTTGTCATGACACTCGAGTGTGCAGCGAGTGGGCTTGCAGGCCTTTCTTCTGGGTGAAAGATGGTACTGTGACTTCAGTAAGTTTTACAATATTAGCAAATAAGAGAATGATAATGCAGTTTCATAACATTTCACAGTAAAGTTACAATTGTTTTGAAAATACATTGTCCCAAAACCATTCTCAGTAGTAAGGTCGTCGTGGATTGTTCTGTGGGGAATAACAAGAGAAAATTAATCAAAATTGCTGTCTTCACAGAACAATGAGCATCTGAGCTTAATTATCCGAAAAAGCCACTGAAACGTGACATTTCTGACAGCAAAACCTGAGGTTTCCCATCCAAAATAACAAATGTAGCTTTCTAGGTGTGCTGGCATGCTGAATGTAACAGAGGCAAATGCAAACTTACAAGCCTTTTGCAACCAGGAAAACAATTATTCAAAATAAACCACGGATTCATGGACAACTCACCCGCTTCCTTTGTGGGCAGTTTAGACTTTGCATGTACCAGATAACATTAAAAACAGGGGCTTTTGTATTTAAAAAAATCATAGCAAGGAAAACTGTACATCCATGGATGTTTTGGTAGCGATAATTTGATTCAACATGAGAACAGAATCAAAGAGAAACTTTGACAGCATCCGCTCTCTTGGCTAAGCACTAGAAACACTCCCACCCTTATGAGATACGCACAGAAGCCTCAATGGATTTGTCACTGTGTCTGCTCTGGTTTCGGGACCACCTTACCAATGGATTTGGTCGGAAGCGGTAGGCGAGCATCATTCGTTTACGGAATGCCTCGTACTCATCATCCTCCTTGGTTAGCTCGGCGGGACGATCGATGCCAAAACCAGCTCCATCCACGGCAGTAGTTCCTCTGTTTGGAAAGAGGGAACAAAGCCTCCGAGGTAAGCGGATGTGACAGATCACCTTCCTCTTCACCAGAAATACCTGCTCAGAGCTCAGGGAACAAGCATCAGGGAGCGCTGGGCATCATCACCCAGAGCGCGCTGCATCAAGACAGACAGCTAATGCCGAGCAGCTTATTGCATTTGCCACGTTTCTACATTGCTCTTCCAGATCAATGACGCTTGCTATTGTGAGATGGAAGCAGTAGTGTCAACATATATTTGCTTAACCTTTTACAGCTGGAACAGAAATATCACCTATGCTTTGGATGCCTCCCTACTGAACGGTGCTCCGACTGGCAGACTAACCTTTGGCAACCAAACGCTTTGATTTGTACCTCACTGAGGTACACAGACCTGTTAAACGACATGTCTGCCTCCCATTCCTTCACTCCAGTCCAAAAGCAGAAGCAATTCCTTTCCATCTGCAGTAGCACCTTCTTATCCATTCTAAGAACATCAGAGATGGTAGAGCCCAAGCAAATCACAACCCTTGTTCAACCCTGTGATGGACAAAACTGCCTTCCTCCTGTTGTTTGTAAGCCTTGCTGTTTTGATTACAATAATCTTCTATCACAGCACTTCTTTGAACCGGTAAGCGTGTTGCCAGAGAGATCTTCTTGCGAAAGAGGAGCAGCAGGGCTTTGTAGAGATACTTTCTATTGTGCCGTAAACAAACAACTGTTATTTCTAAAAGGATCTAACGCTAAAAAACATTTCAGAGTATTTCCTATCCCCAATATTTGGTTTTGAAGTTCAGCATATGTTACCAACAGCTGATCCACCTAAAAAGAGATGCTCATCTATTTTTGGATGGAACTCTCATAAAGCTTCATTATACACAAAGCGTGAGCAAATTGGAAAACTGTGCAACAGAGTGACGTCAAGACAGTTGCGTGATCACACACAAAGCGCTCTGATCTGGACGAAAACATCTTTCAAACACGGGTCTAGCAGTAGCAAATATTGCTAATCGCCTTTCACCCACAGTACACCAGGGACTAGCTGGCAGAGAGCAACAGTGCTTCAGATGCAAAAGGCATGTTCTTAATACTTAAATAAATTTATTACTTTAAAGACATGACTTAATCCTCACATGCCCTGGGAGAGGGGAGGTGCAGACAGGTTATTATCTTCATTTTATAGATGGGGAAACCGGGGAGAAGGCACCTCTCAGAAGAAGGCACTATGCAATCTGAGATTAGAAACTCTTGGCTCAGATCACACCTCCTGCCCGAGATAAAGTAACAAACCCAGACCCTGGGGGGAGGGAACCCCAAAGAAATCAGAAACGATTTTTCTTCTTTGCTGCGAGGATTCCATATTCTGTTCAAGTGATGAATTACAGTCACATTCGTTGCAGCTGCTTCCAGTAGGCTAGGGTAGGAGCATCAATTATCAGCCCAAGAGGAAAGGACTAAATCAATAGTAGAACTCTGCTTACTTGCTGACTGGGTTTTTAATCCCCTGTCCATCTGAGCCAAGTCCCTCGCCTTCCTTCCAGCCCATCTTCATTAGCATTTGATAACCTATGTTTTCCACAGTCAGTTTGAACTCTTTGTATTCAGAATAATCTGGCTCACGTCCTTCCTGCAGAGACACAAAAGGTAGTGTTGGTTATTTTTTATATGCACCTATCTTTGTGGGTCAGGAGGGGAAAGGCAGCTTCAGCTACTCAAAGTTAGATGGTTCTGGCAAACAATTAGTAACTAGCACGATTTCTTGGGATTCCAGTTCTGCACCACCACAGAGAAGAAAATAGGTAAATGATAAAGCACTGCACAGCCCTATAACATAATCTGCAAGAAGCAGGGAATGCTACTGCGAGATTAAGCTGAGAAATATTTAGCTCCTGAATTTGAAGTTGCTCACCGGATCAAGCTTCAGATACAGTTCTTATTTAAGCCAGGATCTCCAGGGAACGTCAGACCCCATGCTGGCTACACAAAAACATTATGAGGGATGCGCCAGCATCAAGAAATTCTACAGTTCAGGAAGAATTGGCAGGTATTGAAGTGCTTTGCATAAGCTTTTTGTAGGCTTTGTATTTTCACTTTACTGCAATCGTCTGGATAAAAATTCAAATTTTCCTTGCTTGGCATCAACAACCACTTATCCGAAACGGGAACAGCAGACAAACGGTGGGTAGTCTGAGAGGCTTGTCTAGAGTCTCAGCTAACCCCCAAATGCTGTCCCACTAGTCTGTTCTCTAATTTGCTACAGCCATTTCTCTGCAAAGAGCAAAAAACCAACCCCTTGTTTCCTCCAGAAGTAACAGAGCTCCAAGTGTAAGGGCAGAAGTACCTCGAGGCTGCAAGGTAGCTAACTGCTGTGACAAAGGGCTAAGCATGCTTGAAGTCTTTCCCTCACTGCTATGGGACAAGTCTGAAGCACTGCCTCCGCCCTGTGAAGTCTCTGCTATTTCACCTTCAATGCCTTGAACGTCTCCATGAATTTCTCCAGCTCATCAGGAGGAAGAAAGTCTCCAATGAAATGTTTCCCTCTGCCCATCTGGGTCAGCTGCTCAGCCCATTCTGCCAAAGACACAGGAGAGAAAACAGCAATAACACAGCGTTCTTTGACTCAGAATTTCAGAGGGTTCATGAAGCATAAAGCCTCACAGCAACACAGATGGTTATTATCTCCACTCAACAGGCAGGGAAGCCACAGCACAGGCCAGTGAAAAGTGACCTGCAACTCCCATGCCAACAACATGATCTCGGAGGTCTCCCTCTGGAGGCTTCTGTACAACCACAGAGCAAGACGTTTGCGTGGCAGATCCCTACACACCTCGCGTCTTGTCCATCTCCATGCGTCGAAGCTGGTGCTCCCACGTTCCCAGCTCACTGTCCACCTCTTCATCACTGTCATAGCCATGCTGGTGCTGCTGAATTGCCTTTTCCCACATCATCTGCATCTCCTGCATGGCTCGCTTGTGCTTCATGATCATATCATACATCTGCTGCATCTAGGGGAAGAGATGCAACAGCACTCTCGGTAAGACAACAGGCAGCAGAGTCCGCCCCAGAGGCACGCAGAGTTCTGCAGCACAGCCCATGCCCGCCCCAGCTGCTGTACAAAATACAGGTTATGACAACTACAAATCCCAACAGGCAGTGCTCTTGCTTGATCTGATCCGCTCGCTTCCCAGATCAAACAGGAGCATTACATGCTAGCTCCTCCAACAGAAGTACCTTGATATTAACACTGAGGACCGCTACCATCTGATCATACCCACACAGTTTAAACATCGCCCTCACGTTCTGGCAAAAGCCAATTTTGCTCTCATTCCCCCCAAGCTTGCAAGTATCCACTCACCTTCTCCCCACTGCTGAAGCAATACATAACCAGCTGCAGATGTGACACAACAGACCTTATAGATTTTGGGTTTTAGTTTGGTAGGACAGCAATTGGCTGGCTTAATTCATTTTCCCCAAAGTCCTCTAATATTTCTGCTGACTGCAGCATCACATGATTCTTAGGCATTCCGCACAAATCCTAGAGATTTATTTGTGGACCACTGGGAAAGTTTCTTTGCTGTCCACCTCCATTTTCCCATCTAACTCAGCCATGCTGCAACGCAATATGAATTTGGAAATCATTTCAGGGCATTACCTCCTGCTGCTCCTTCAGCTGTTTCTTCTGGGCTTCGGAGAGCTCCGTCACACCCACCAAGCCAACTGGTTTCCCTTTTTCATAACCAAGACCCTTGAGGTCCTGAACTGTAATAAGCACATGTTAAAAGACTTTCAAAAATCTGAGACAGCTGTTGAGACCAGCGAAACTGTATCTCAAGATCCCCATGTGAAGTTTTACACTCATTTCATGGTTCCAGCATTGAGACACTTAACTGAAGAACCACCTCCTGGTAGGACTTAAGAACCACAGGAGCAGGAAAGCCACTGGGTCGCACCTCCTTCACCAGCCAGCTCAGAGCGTTCCCTCACCCTGGTCCAAGGCTCTGCCCATATCGCATTAGCAGACTCACAAACTCTGTCTCACATCCTCAGAGGTCACGCTGCACGGCGATCTGCTACACCATGCCTTAAAAATCATTCCTCCTTAAGATTAATTCCCCTCATAAGGCTTCCTCATGAACCCCAGCCATTGCAAAGAGTGACACTTAATTATTCAGAATTGAGTCACAAGCAAATCCGAGCCTGTCAGCATATTGTCCAATCTGTGCACGTAAGTGCCTGCTGATTACTATGTAAACAGCAACTTCATTCAAAATGAAAAGCAAATGACCACATTAGAATAAAGACATGAGCATTATGCTGCTTTTGGAAGTTGCCATTCCCCAAAGAGATTTTAGTTTCTGATCTACAGGCTCAAGAGCAGCATTGCCAGGGATGTTGCCCTGCTTTCAAAGGGGGGAGCATTTTAAGTCTCTGCTTGACACTCCCATTGATGTATCCTCCTTTTTCTGCATCATCCCCTTTTGGAAGCTCCTCCTTTGGAATGATTTTTGCTGTTGTATCAGATAAGCACCTGAAATTAGCTATTAACATTATCTGGGCAGGGCACCTACTGACTTAAAATGACCATACAGAACTCTGAGTTCAAAGGGCAAGTTAAAGGAAAGAGGGGGGGCGGAAAGGAAGCCTATTTGTAATTGCTGCACCGCGACAGAAAGTAATAGAAACACTGCTGGGGCTGCAAAAGAGAGATTTGCAATGGAGATTGCCTTGCAAACTTGCTTCCTATATATCTAGCAGGGCTGGCAGCTCCCCTCTAAAGCACCTCGGAGTTAAGATCCCAACAGTTAAATATTTAAGGGATTAAAAGAAGACGCACAACGGCACTTGAAAGCACATTGCATTTTTCAATACAAGGAAAAGGTTTTCTTCCTAATGACTGCAAAAACCTCCATTTGAATGTAAGTCCAGACTACAGTTAAGTGATGCTTCATTAATTATTCATTATCTATTAATTATGAAGCCCGATAATAATAGGATCATTGTTCATGACACCAAATGTCTACACAGCATGCTAATTAGGCCCCAGGGGTCGTCTTCTCCCTTCCTCTTATTCGCACTCAGGGCAATTGATCTGAGCGCTCTTATCTCCCCTCCTTTCCCGCACGCTTTTGGCTGAGCACTCCACGATTGGAAAGCGGCTTCCTTAACTCCAGCCTCCCGAGGAGAACATAAAACAGCGCATCCACCCTCCCTCGCACAGCTACAGCCTCTGCACATTTGCACCAGCGCCGGGAGTCAACTCTGCAGGAAGAGTTATGTAAAACACTGCAAGAGGTTTTCCAAGAGGAGGGAAGCAAGCAGCCGTGTTACGCTAGGCTTGGTGCTAGGATACGCACTTTCAGCTCCCAAGAAATAAGAACAAATAGAAAAATAAACCTATCTATTATTGATAAACAGCCCAATTTCTGTCTCGGAGAGCAGTGATTTGGAAACAGTTTTAATGAACACACTACGCCTATGCCAGGTGAGAAGAATCTGGCCCCAAACTTTACGTGAGACCGGGGCACGTCAGCATCAGCCCTAGTCGAAGATTCACCTCCTGTCTCAGGGCATGGGAAAGCTTTCTCTGAATGCACCGAGGAAGACTCTCTGCCCTTCACAGAGGTCAGCAGCTCTTTGGCTTAGTTCTGAATTGCATAAACACTCAGGCTAAGAGCCAGGCATGGCTCTAGAGGCCCCGCGAGCTGGTGGCTTGCCAGCATATATAACCACCTTAAAGGAGAAAGGTGAGACTGTAGCATCTTCTTTTACTTCCCAGAAAGCATATGCGACTGCTCCTTCTTGTGCCAGAACTACACCTGGTTTGTCCGACTGCTCTGGTACCTTGCAGGTTTTATGATGAGAGATGCTGAAAGAGTCACTGCAGAAATTTAGCTCTGGGGGATAATTTTGTAGTCTTGGCCCAAAGTATCACACTACAGGCAAAGTTGACAGAAAAAGCAAAGCTCCACCCCAAGTCCACATCTGAAGATAGAAAAGGCTATTCATAAATAAGATCAGTCAATGAATTTGCATAAAAATAGGTAAGATTTATAAGTTCCTTACACTGGTCTAGCACCAGGCAAACGCTATGCAAAAGACAAGGAGTTGCTTCTCAGTCTCATGTTCAGCAGGCCTGGGAAAAAGTACATTTTTTTTCCTTGAATGACATCAGCTTTGCCTACAGGGTTAATGGTGCAGTCTATCTGCAGCATTGGCAGAAGACTACCTGAAGGTTTATCCCTTTCCCACATGCTCGAAGAAGAGCTTGTTACAAGAGGAGTGAATGTCCTTTAAGGACAGCAGGAGAAATCCCAATACAGAAGTGCCTGATTTTTTTGCTTCATAGTCTGAAGATCTTACTCAATTAAAACTAATCAGACCCAAACCAATCCAATATTAGGTTTCAGAAAATTCTAATGACAGCCTGTAATTTCCCATTGGTCTACAGAGTTCACTGATCACAATATCTCTGTTTTGTTCAGCTTTTCAGGTGTATTAGTCCCTGCAGTATGTATGCAGTTAAGCATTTCGATATCAATACATTTAAGAGGAGCCTTGCTTCTGTCCAAAAGGGCTACACTTTCTCCTCTCTGCGATACTGATTTATTACTAAGAGTAGGCAGGAAAAGAATCAGAACAGTCCTCCGCTAAATCCAAAACAATTGCTAAGGATAAAGGGCTAAGACGTAGATATTTAGGTACCAAAGCATACTGTGCGACTCTAACCTTCCACAGGATCAGGGGTGTAATCTGGAATTCTCTTCACCTGTCAGGTTGAAGATGTTAATTCTAAAAAGGGATTAGTCCATCTGAACAGATAAAAAAAAAAATCCTTCCCCCTGCAGAGCATTAACAGCGCATTAACGGTTGATTTGTTATGCCTGGCAAATTGTTTGCTGTCCTTTTCTTCTACTTGACACAAAGCCCTGCAGAAAGTGAGCATGAACACAACGAGCATGTCCCTGTCTAATTAAGGGGAGGCTAAAAGAGCCAGGGGAGACTTCAG